CGCTTGCGGGGTTAGGTTGTTGCACGAGTCGCCATAGGCTGCGTCTGTAACGCTAGTTCTCTGGCCTTGACCTGACCAGAGACGAGCCGCAATGAAGGCAAAGACTTAAAGTAAGAATTTCCCAAAGGCAGCTGACCTCCTTCCGCGGAACCTAGGCATCCTGGGCGTTGAGCTCAGGGCCAGGGTGGCGCGGGGAGGAGGCAGCCCGAAATGGGGTTGCAGCGCACCCCGCTGCGGCTAGCTGAGCTAGCCAGCCCCACGCGTGCACTAAAGGAAGCTTCAGAGAAGCTTCCTTTGCTGCATGCTTTGCCTCATAACGAACTTGTATAACGTTTGCAGACGCTTACGCGCAGCATGCCAAGGCTGTCAATAGGCTCCTCAGCTAACTCTGCGCTAACTCATGTTACATCTGCCCCCCCATCAGCAAAAAGCGCACGTCCCTCGTGCGCAGAAGTCATGTAAAACGTGATGGATTGCTGCTGTTGCTGCTGCTGCTGCTGCTGCTGCTGCTGCTGCTGCTGTTCTCCACACCGGTGCCCGTTCCTGCGACGAAGCAAGGGAAAAATGGGTGAAAAAGGGTCGAATATGTGAAGATGTCAAGGTAGAGAGAAAGGGTGAGGGGGAGCAGCATGCCAGTCGCCGCATCGGACTCAAACGGCGAGTCGTGATGCGGCGGCTGTCTCGCGGCTGCGATGGTGCCACGGCACCGCCTGAATGAGCTTGCCTGCGAGAGAAACAGCAAATAGCGGCACAAGAAAAGAGAAAAGAAGTGAAAGGCTGTGCAAAAGCAAGGAAACTGCTGCGATGCAGGCCCAGCTCAGGCCACAGCTGGTGGCTAGCTGGAGTGGCGCGAGACGCCGCTCCCAAGCTGCCACTGGGCAAAAATAGGGAAAAAAAAGCTGCTTCCAGGGGTCTGGATGCTTGGTTACAAGTCATCCAGCTCCATGGTAGTTGAAATGACCCTTCCCGCTAGGCCGGGTCGCCCCCGACCGGGCACCTGAGAAAGCCCCATCCAAGCCCCAAAGCAAAGCCCCACTGAGGGAGGTACGGCCGGTCGGCAGCGCCCTCCCGCGACCTGGCGCGTCTCGCGAAAGGGGAAAGATCTAGATACGGAGGTAAGGTAAGTAGCCTCCGGGGGCATCGACGAATAAAAATAGAATAGATTGGAGGGATCCGCCTAGGGATCCACGAGCACGAAGCTACCTAACACCCACTCCCGCATCCTGCCTGCATGCACACACTAGTTGTAGTCCAGGAGAGCACGAAACTGTGTAGGGGGGAGCGCCTCCCGTAAGCGATCCTCCGAAACCCATTCGGGATCGCTTGTGCCCGGCCATTTCACGTAGTAGTCGCGTTTCCGATGGCCGCGGCGGGACGTATTGCGCACCTCGAGAATCTCTATATCCTCGAGGCGCGGAAGCTCGCGAGGTCGCTGCTGCTGTTTCCTCGCTAGAGTGCGAGGAAACCGCGGAGATTCCCGCAACTGTTTTAAGAATCCCACATTGATAGTATGATGACATCCCCACGTTGAGGGTAAATCGATGATATAAGCCAAGGCGTTGACCCGAGAGCGGACCGCGAACGGTCCAACCCACCGTGTTGCAAACTTTTTGGGTTGCTCGCCCTCCTGCGCGCTACGGAGGGCGTGCGAATCCACCAGAACCAAGTCGC